AGGGAAAACCCCGGTTCTTTCCTATTGTGTTTCTTCCCTCTTTTATGGGTCACACAGAACACTGTATTTCTGATGCTTCTGGTCATCAAATGTGTGGAAGTTTTCCCCCAAAACAACAAGCAAGCCTCTGACACCAGCTGGGTGTCCTACAGTTTAACTCAGTTCTGACGCTCCCTACCTGCTACCCCCGCTACAGACACTAGCTGCAAGCCCAGGTAACACAAGTTACCTGTGCTTCTGATGGACTGGCTATAAACCAGAGGTTCCCATGACCCCCTCCTTAGGCTTGCTTAATTTGCTAGAATAGCTCACAGAACTCAGGGAAACACTCACTTTTGTTTACCAGTTTACAAAAGAATATGATAAAGGATACAGATGAACGTCCAGATGAAGAGATACATAGGGTGAGGTCTGGGAGGGTCCTGAGCACAGGAGCTTCTGTCCCCGTGGAGTTGGAGTGTGTCACCCTCCCGGTGCGGATGTGTCCAGCAACCTGGAATCTTCCCGAACCCCCTACTATTGGGATTTTATGGAGGCTTCCTCATGCAGGCATGATCAATTATTAGCTCCATTTTCAGCCCCTCTCCCCTTTCTTGACGATGGGGTGATGGGGGTGGAACCAAAAATTCTTTACTCCCATTGAGGAGTCATCCAGGAGCCTACCCAGAGTCGCCTCATTAAAACAAAAGATGCTCTTCGTGTTCTTTATTGCTTAGGAATTTACAAGAGTTTTAGGAGCCCTGGGTCATGGATGAGATCGAAGACACATACGAGGACAAGAGATGCTCCCAGTGTTCTTATCACTTAGGAAACCACAAGGGTCTTAGGAGCTCTGTGCCAGGAACTGGGGGCAGAGACCAATGTATATATTTTCTACTATCTCACAGTGCTACAGAAAGAAAGCAATTAGTGGGTGCAAAAAAATTATGGCAGGAATAATTGATTGCCTGACCCCAAGGTGATCAACTGTGCCTTCCCCTGAAATTCAGGGGTCTCGACCACAGGATATTGAGGTGCATGGACCTCCCTGGGCCTGTGCTCAGGACTAGAAAGGACTGACCCTGAGGACCAACGTGGAACCGTCAAAAGCCAAGATCACCGCTTGCTCTTCCACCACTGAGCCTTGAACATGTGCTTGTCGTGATGCTTCCTACGTTTGTCTACCCCATTTTTGATCTTCTAACAAATAACATCACACACAAATACAAAAAAAATTCTAGCCTAGTTCCTGGAACTTGGTAGAAGGGACTGCTGTGTTGTTAAAAGGGAGCTTAGGTATCTTTAAGAAGCTGATCAGATTGTCCTTTGTCAAAAGGATAAGAAAAACACTTTGATCCAGGTATATTTAAGGAAGAACATTTTTTAATATGAGAATGGTCCAATGCTGTAGCAGCAAGCACCAGCAGAGTTATGGCACTTCTAATCCTGGACTGCTCAGTAACTCTCTGACCTACCTAGTGGTTAGAAGAGATGCATATAATTTCTCAACTTTCCTAACTGCACTGTGATTCTTTTTAAGGCATGAAAATACCAATTTTTAAGGCTACCCAACATTTTTTCTCAATATTTTTCTTTTTGGAATCAGATATAAAAATAGAGTTTGGATATTTGATTTGTGTGAAGGAATATACACACACACCAAAAAAATCATGTTTCATTGAAAAACTAGAAAAACGTATAAATACTCTTCTTAAAAATTAGGGCTTCCCTGGTGGCGCAGTGGTTGAGAGTCCGCCTGCCGATGCAGGGGACACGGGTTCGTGCCCTGGTCCGGGAAGATCCCACATGCCGTGGAGCGGCTGGGCCCGTGAGCCATGGCCGCTGAGCCTGCGCGTCCGGAGCCTGTGCTCCGCAACGGGAGAGGCCACAACGGTGAGAGGCCCACGTACCGCAAAAAAAAAAAAATTATGTTTCTCCCTAATATCTTTTATGCCACCATCATTAGATTTTACATTCTTTTATTGAACATTCCCAGTGTATGTGTTTTGTGTATGTCTTTTTTGTTTCTCTTTCTCTCTCTCTCTCTCTCTCTCTCTCTCTCTCTCCTCTCTCACACACACACACACACACACGTGCACACACAAATGCTTCTTCAGTCAACATTTATTAAAAAAACTTCACTGTGCTGTGTCCTAAGGGTGCAAGATATGCATGATTTATCCTCAATAAATATTTATTGACTGTAGATTGATGAACTTGCTTTTTGGTTCCTAAAGCAATGAATAGTTCATGTGCTGAAAGAATCAAGGGTAAAGCCTGAGTTGGAAGGAGTTTGGTAGGGCCTCTAATCCTGTGCCTCTTCCCAGCTGGAAGCATTCTTGCGGGGAGGATCTTGGCAGCCTGCTCTGACCAGCTTGATGTCCCTGGTGCCAAGGCAGAGAGTCTGGCACCCATCAGTGATCCCCCAAAACAGCTGTGTATCAGATCGCAGCACTGCCCCTGGTTGCAATAATGATGGCCTTGAGTCATCAAGAAACGGTAAAATTATATTTAGGCCTTTCTATTTAAAGTTAAAATTATCCATACAAAATAACTGGGCTGCAGAAGTTTCAGCGTTTAAGTATGTACGATTCAGCTCTCAGATAAATTCATGTTTACAAACAACAACTCCTAGTAATTCCAGATTAAATGAGTTGTCACAGTGGTAAAGAATGACTTCCCAAGGGCCTGCCTCATTTTCTATGAGAATTAGGAAACATAATCCTAGCAAAGTCTTTTTACAGAATTTGAAGCAAAGCCTCACATTTGTGTTTTTGTGTCTTTCAAATCAATACTTATTTGTAGCACGTGCACAACAGCACTTTCGTGAATGTTTTATGTGACCAGAATGCAGCCCCATGAATGTTGCAAACTGCTCAACTTTAAGAGGAGTATAAAATGTCCCGTCAAACCCAACATGCTGTGACACTAATTTTTACATGTAGAAATCAATGCATTGAAAAGAGACTTCAGAATCTTTCGGTTGTTTCCAAATGCAGTGATTTTAGTGATTGTCTCTAACCAAATTGTTAGGCATTTGTCTTTTTGATTCTGGTGACCTCCACAGCGCTTTTACCAGTTAGGAGTTGGTCTCTGTATCTGAATTACAGACCTGTCACTCTGTGGTCCTGCTGCCAATAAGCTGATTCTCTTCAGTTACCACTGTGGTTTAGTGGTTTAGTGGCTCACACTGACCGTCGCTGTGGGTCAGCCGAAGCGACTGGATGCTGGGTCCACGTCTGGCCTTAGGCAGAGCTCTCCCTCCCTTGCACATGTCACCTCCAAGATGAAAGATGAGTGAAAGAGAAACATCTGTACCAGTGAGACAGAGGGATGGCAGATTTCCTTTGTTCACCCAAGAGAAAGTTACGAAAGCCAAAATAGGATAAGGGGAGAAGGGAGTCTCCCGGAGTCATAACCCAGATATTTTACTCATTATTAACTTCTGTGTCAAATGCTTCAAACCTTATTTTCCCCAAAACTCCCATTGAGCGTTTGTCTCTGACTTGTTAGCAGGGTCTGCCCTCCTGGCTAAGGTCAGCCTCACTTGGTATTTCTCAGGGGCTCCTGTCCTCCAACAGCTAACATACAGTTGAAATGAGCCTCCTGAATTCCACATGATTCAGGGGAGCTTTTTCTTCGAAAGCAATTAAAGTTTCTTCTGGTGGGGAAGTTTGAAAACCTTCCGACAAACATGGGTTTTATAAAGATGTTATTGGATGTGAGCTGTGATAGCTGCTGCAGTGCGTCTGATCCTGCATAGAACAAAGTGGCATCTGTGTAAGGTGCTCCTTGGGGACCAGGAAGCAAGAGCCAACCTCCCCCAGCCATTGACAGAGGGGCACGGGCATGTGGCTTTGGGATTGCTGTTCCTTAGGCTGGCGGTGTTTGGTGAGGATCTTGAGACTGACTGTGACTAAGTGTGAGGCTTACTGCAAGCAACCTGATATTTATGAAGTACAAAATTTCGTAAATGGTAGTAGAGCCGGTATGAGTCTCAGTTGTGCAAGAAATATCTATTTATTTAAATTAAAACAGATCTGCCTCCAGACCTCCAGCCTGCCTAACTGGCCAGACACTTGATCTTTGCTAGCCCTCAGGTCCCCATGCCAGGGTAAAACTAGAAGTGGGAGCTTATGTGGGATCTGGATAGGGAGGCCCCTCACCTCTCACATCACCAGTGTGCCCCCATGGTCCCACTTCACAGCCTTTCTGGGAGGTCCCGTGATTTCTCTACCTCCCTGCCACGGTGGGGCCTGGAATGTTCTGGCAAGGCTGGGGGCACCCCTGCACATCCTGTGTCCTCCTCCGGGGTCCTGCCAACCCTCCAGGTGCTGCCAGGTAGCAGCGAGCCACAGACGTCCATCCCCTGCCCAGCCAGGGCATCTCCCTTCTCTTCCTCATTGCTTCCTCCTCCCATCACCTTCCAGAAATGGACCATAGTCTCTGGAAGGAGCTCTGGCTTTGTGAATACAGAACCAGAAGGCAAGTATGTTGTCACCAGCTTCAGGTTCTGGCCCCATGATTTAAACACCCCAAAAGGTGATTATGCAGATTTATCTCAGTATCTTTGTGGAAAACAGAAGGTAAAATGCAGGTAGAAAACCTCACCTCTACCAGTTAGGATTAGGTTTGTTTGCATAGAGTAGGAAACTCAACTGATTACTTAAGAAAGGAAGATTCATTAACTTCCCCCTACATTGAGTCTCAGGTAGGCCGTCCAGTGTTCTGTGATGGTCTGGGACTCGGGCCTCTCCTGTCTTGGGAAGATACTTTGGCTACATTTATCAAACTTAATATATGTGTTTATTCTGCTTTTAGGAACATATCCCACAGATATTCTTACAGAAGTGTTATTTCATCATTTCATCCTTTTTCATAATTGAAAAAATATCAGTGTCTACCAATAAAGCATTAATTAAATAAATCACAATACAATCATGCAGTGGTATATGCATAGTTATTAAAAAAGAATGAGGCAGATTTATAAGTGCCAGTATCAAGAGATGTCTAAGGTGTACTTTTTAGAAAACACCTAGTTGCAGTATAATGTATGTCATATGATCTCGTTTGTGATTGTATTTCCACATAATACACAGAAGGAAGTGAGTCTTTTTGGGAGGGGCCTCATTGGGGCTTGGGCGAAGCAGGGCTATTGTTCATATTGTTTATACTCTTCAGTACTGTTAAATGTTTTACATCAAGTATTTAATGTTTACTTTAAAAAGAAACATCAAATTATCTTAGACATGGAAGGTACTTTACAAGGTCATTTTATGCTAATCTTGTATCCAGTCTTGCACTGGTAACCAGTCAAGCAAGTGATCCATCCTCCTGTTGCTAACAGTAAAGGACATCTTAATTATAGAGAGAGAATGAACTTTAGTTACAGATAAGTAGAGAAAAAAACAAATAGCCAGAATATGTTAAAGGTCATAGTTACTATAATTTGTCACCCCAAATTCAATAACACTTCAGTGAGACCAATCAGAAGGATGAATGAAAATAGAGGATCTGTTAGGAACATGATAGATTGGGATCTTTTCCCAACATCAGAAGCAAGTACAGTGTGGCAGAGTGCAGAAAGCCTGGAGTTCGGCCCAAAAGACCTTTGCCAATTTCTAGCTGTATAACTTTGGGCAAATTACTTAACATTTTCAAGTTACTTTCCTCACTGGTAAAATAAAGTGGGACATCTGATATATATCAAATTATATATATATAGATTGATATATATTATATATCAAATGAAATAATGTATGAGAAGAGATTGTTTCTGGAAAATAGAAAGCATTTAATAAATTTCACCGATCATGTTATTTGCATTATTAATATCACCAGTGAACTATATCTGGTAAATCAAGAAAATTATCTTCCTTAAATTAATAGATTATACTTTCTTTTGTTTTATCGTCAAATTTGCCAGTTCTTTGTAAGAAATTAATCTGCATAGAGATATACGCCAGTACCAACAGATTGCCCCTAACACGTCTAACAAATTATTTCAGAACTCGGCATAGCCACCAGCAGTGACTTCCAGGGCCTTGTCACACCTCTGCTAATGATTTGTGTCTTCATGTCAGCAGACACATTAGCTTTTTTCACTTTCAGCATCTGAGCATGTGCTCAGGTTCCAAAACATATTCCAAGGTAAATAGTTGGTTTCAAAATTTTAAAAGAAATTATTACTGATGTCTAAGATCAAAGCCACTTGCAGATTCTTTTTTTTCCCCCCTGGTTCATAGACTCAAATATTCCTTTCACCTGTGATCCAGGGTAGTTAAATACCCAGCAACACTACGTGCTGCTTTCTGTGTACTGTGGAAGGAGACTGCTCTTGTGCTTTATCTACTCCAGAGAACTGGAACCAACCCACCAGGACCTTAAGAGGCTGGAGTATTCCTATGGACACTGCCCATGTCCTGACCAAGGATTTCATTTAAAAACCCACTCTCGGGGTTTCCCTGGTGGCACAGTGGTTGAGAGTCCGCCTGCCGATGCAGGGGACACGGGTTCTTGCCCCGGTCTGGGGGAAGATCCCACATGCCGCGGAGCGGCTGGGCCTGTGAGCCATGGCCACTGAGCCTGTGCGTCCGGAGCCTGTGCTCCGCAACGGGAGAGGCCACGACAGTGAGAGGCCCGCGTATCGCAAAAAAAAAAAAAAAAAAAAAAAAAACCCACTCTGAACTCGACCTTCCTTTTATAAATGCCCCTCAGCCCATGATTCCAAAGTACTCTCAGTAAAAGAACCTCGTAAGGCAGCTGCAAAGTTCTCGCCGAACTCTATACAGAAGGTAAAGGGAATGACTAACCTTTGCCTGCCTTGGTGGTTTCGTTGGGATAATAGACATACTCCCACCAAAAAATGTTTACACTGTTCTCAAATAGAGCAGAAGCCTTAAGGTTTTCTCAGCTTTGAAAGCTTCTTCTGATTCATATCTTCTTACCAGCATATTCATTAAGAATTTCACAGATATATAAGTAACCATTCCAGTTAGACATTTGTATTTTCCACTTATTCGACAGATAATTTTTGAGAATTTTTGCACTTCATGTAAGAGGCACATTTTTGATTAAAGGATAATTTTAGACATGCTCTGAAGAGTATATAGGTGCATGTCATGTGCATGCACATATTCAGGATGGGCTGTTTCACCTACATCCCTAAATCCAGCCTCAGAGTGTAGGAACAAGTGTAGCACTGGGGCAGACATAGTACCAGATGAGGAGAGGCAGGCTTGGGTAATTTTTGTCACCCCAAGCTGTCTGTGTAAGTTTGACCTAGGCATCAACTCTCTCTGGCTGAATGAGGCCATCTTTAGAGCATGAGGTGTCACTGGTTTTTGTTTTTACAGTTAATTTATGAAAAACAAAGGAGCCTTTCAAAGTGAAAACCATACTGTGAAATATAAAAGAATGTTTCAAAACAATAGCTGGGGAGAAACCAATAACTTTTTTTATATATATTTTGAAACTGTTTCCTCATTGATTAACAGCTTTTATTGAGATATAATTCACATACCATGCAATGCACCCATTTAAAGTGCCCAATTCAAAGGTTTTTTTAAATTATTATTACACTATTATTTGTTTTAGTTGCTGCAGTGAATACTGGCCTACAAGTATGTGTTCAAATTCTGGTTTTCAGTTCTTCTGGGTACACTCCTAAGAGTACAAAATCGCTGGTAATTCCGTGTTCAGCTTTTTGAGGAACATTATTACTTTTAGAAAAGTTTGTACTTATGAGTTACTGCACTAAACATCTTAAATGTGTATTGCATCTAGTTGCCATAGCAAACTTCTACATTCATTCTTATTCATTCAGCAAGTAATTTTAAAGGATCTACTATGTACCACGCACTGTTCTAGGCACTGAGGTTCTCTAGTGAACAAATAACAAAGTTCCACTCTCTTGTAGGTCTTACATAATAGTATTAATGGCAGACAATAAACAAATATATATATATATTAATAAATGCCATTAAGGCAATGAAGAAAAGTGCATGGTGAGGGGAAATATTGCAGAGGATGGTTGTAGGTAGGAGGGATGCTGTTTTAGATGGAATTAAAGGGGAATGTCTGTGAAAAGCTGACACCTGGGCAGAGCCCTAAAAGAATCGAGGCAGGGCTTCCCTGGTGGTGCGGTGGTTAAGAATCCTCCTGCCAATGCAGGGGACCTGGGTTCGAGCCCTGGTCTGGGAAGATCCCGCATGCCGCGGAGCAGCGCCACAACTACTGAGCCTGTGCTCTAGAGCCCACAAGCCACAACTACTGAGCCCACGTGCCACAACTACTGAAGCCCGCGCACCGCAACGAAGAGTAGCCCCCTGTCGCCACAACTAGAGAAAGCCCGCGCACAGCAACAAAGACCCAACACAGCCAGAAATAAAATAATTAATTTCAAAAGAAAGAATCGAGGCAGCTAGTCATCCAGAGATCTTGGGAGAGCATTCTGGGGAGAGGCAAAAATGCAAAGGCCCTGAGGCACGTCCCGGCTTGGTGAGGTCAAGGAACAACAGACAGGTTGGGGTGGCTGAGGGGAGGGGCGGGGTCGGGTTTTTTATATTGTGATGGGAAGTCATTTGGAGAGTTTGAGCAGGAGACAGAGGCAATCAATTATTCTGCCTATTTCTAGGTAAAGAAGGCTTTAAGTGATTTTACCAAAGCACCCGGTGAGTAACAAAAAAGATTTTCCCAAGTAGGTTCACTCTGGAGTGCATGCTCTTCCCCACCAGTCTAGGGCACGTCTCTGCCCGAACGCTGTTCCTTGCTGGCTGTCGTTGCTTTACAGAACTGCCCTACGAGGTGCTCCTTCCCTGGGATTGGTTCGTGGCTCTCCGTAAGTGGTAAGCCAGACGTTAAGCGGGTCTTGCCAGGCGTGGTGTTTGAGGTCTCTGGATTCTCTCCCGCAGGCATGATGCACTCCCCGGGATTCGACGGGAACGGCAGCCTGGGCTTGCAGATGCTGATGAACGCGGACAGCCTGTACGCGGCCGCGCACTGTGCCCTGCTGCTCAACCTGAAGCTCTCCCACGGAGACTACTACCGGAAGCGGCCCGCCCTGGCGCCAGGCACCATGGTGAGTGTGCGTCTCCACCCCGCCATGCCAAGGGCCAGCGGCGGCCTCTGGGCTGGCACCCGAGCATCACTGCCACGAGAGGGATGGCCGGTGTGTTCTATCTCACACTGATCTGGAATGCGTGATGCCCGCGGGGCTGTGGAGGGTGGGCGGCCGCGGTGCCCAGGAACCGTTGTGCAATTTGCAAGCTCCGTGAGCCACAGAGCTACCCACCCAGCTCCAGGAGTAAAGAACCCCGTGTGCCTGGAAAGGGCTGCCTACCAGTGACCCAGTAACTTCATCCAGTGGCATTAAACACACGTGTGTAAGACGTATTCAAAAATGTAATCAGCGTCTTAAGTAGCAGCAGGAGATGTGCAGAGAATGGTCCCCTTTGCAGAAAATGCAGGCATGCTGCTACAAAAACCCTTCACTGAGTTCCAAAATATACCAAGACCCACTCGGACCCAGAGCTAAGCTCACTAATGTCGATAACAAAACACCTCCTGTGAGGTGATGACAGTGATGAGGATTCTTCCGTGGTTGGTTGGCTCCCTGGCGTGAGCAGACCCCTCCATGGCGGACCCTGGTACCAGTTCGAGAGCCTAAATCCATGGAGCGACGTTAAGGGATCAGCAATCATTTGTTTGATAAATGATTGACAAATTGTGTGTTTCCGAGGGTAAGTGGTGGCTTCATGAGTGTAAGTCAAGTATCTCTTGAGACACGTATGTCCTTCAGGGAGGACATGCCACCTCTGCTGCTGATGGGACAGTAAGAAGGAGGTGCTCTGTGAAACATTTCTGTGCATTTTCTAATCCTCCCACATGTCAAAGAGCAAAAAGATAAAATGTAGTATCCCTACTCCTTCTACAGGGTTTCTTAAACAGATTACATAAATGAAAGGACCTTCATGAAGTTTGGGACTTCTCCATTGCAGTTGCCGCTTCCCTCGCCACCCTCTGTCCCCCAGTCGACAAGGTTGTGTTTTTCCTATAAGCGGTGACTCAGTGACTCGGGACGGGAAGAGGCGGCAGAGGAACATGAGAGCCTGTTTGTTTGCAGGGGATCGTATCTGGTCACCTTCTCGTGTGGTCTTCTCTGCAGAAAGAGTTCATGAAGCAGGTCCAGACCAGCGGGGTGCTGATGGTCTTCTCCCAGGCCTGGATCGAGGAACTTTACCACCAGGTTCTCGACAGAAACATGCTCGGAGAAGCGGGCTACTGGGGCAGCCCCGAGGACAACAGCCTTCCGCTCATCACCATGCTGACTGGTCAGTGGCTCCTTGCACGGCCCCATGGCACTCGGTGGGGTGGGGAGGGCCCACGCTTCAAAGCCCCTTTCAGGGAGGCAGTAGTGTTTCAAGCAGACTCTGAAACAGCAGCCACAGAGCCTCCCTGGCAGCTGATGACAGTTCCAGGGAGGTGTCATGAGTTCACCTCATAAGAACTTTCTTTCCTTTTTCCACGTGGGGCTCTGCAGGCTCACTGTGCCCCATTGGATTAGGGATTATTTAGCACCTGTGTCTGTTGGGATAAAACTGTTGACCTCTTCTGGGGATATGCAGTAGTGTCTGGGCGCAAAGCCCAGAATTATTCCTAGAAACTCTCACATGCTCATAGGTACCCTGTATCATTCAGTGCTTCTGAGAATTTGCCCGTAATGTAAAATGATTGATTTTAAACTTGGCTTCATCCCCATTTCTCGTCTATATCAGAGGTCTTCCCTTCCCTTCCCAGCTGTACCAGAGTGAAAAAGAATGCAAGGGAAGTGCCCGGCTTTAGGACTCTGCACTTCCACTGCAGGGGGCCGGGGTTCAATCCCTGGTCGGGGAAATAAGATCCCACCAGCCACGCAGCATGGCCAAAAAAAAAAAAAGAAAGAATGTAAAATAGCTTGCCCAGCATCTTTTCTTTAGTGTCTTGAGTTTTTAAAATCCTATTTAACTGTTGGAAATATTATATGAGAACATAAAGAGAAGTATGGGGTGTGTCAACATTTTGACAAAAGCAGCCACTCGTGGCTCTGCATGGCATAACTACAATGTCAGGTCAAGATCAGGGAGTGCTCAAAAGTTTGGACTGGTCATCAGGAGCCTTAATAAAGTTGATCCCAGTTCCCAGACTGGTTTCTATATGAGTGATCTTTTCATGGCTCCCACTGTGCGATAAGTAGAGCATGGCCCTACGTGGACACCTTCCCTGCCCTCTCTGTCGTGTGTATGTCCTCACACAGCTCAACATGGCTTTGCAGCAGACAGGGCACACTGGCAGGAACCTGGGGCAATCCAGCTGGGAGGCAGAATCTGTTGTCCCAAAGGATATGTTATATTGCCTGTGGTTGCCACTCTTACAAAGGTGGCAGAGTGAACTACTGACAGGTGGAGATCAACACTGAGGAATTTGGGGGAAGGCACTATTTAGAAATCAGGCAGGGAGTCAGACATACAGTGAGGTCTATCCATAGCAGGCAGTGTCTTGGTCATTGTCTGGCATTTGGAGTGTTGGTTCCAGAACTAGAATGGAATTGGGGGAAGCAAGACTGGGTCCCAAGCCTTGCGGACCATCATCACCAGACAAGTGACCAATTAGTATTTTATTAATCATGATAATATTTACATCCATTTGAAAAATAGGAATTCATATTTATGAAGACATTTATGAGACATTTATTCAGTCTACCTATAAGCAATGCTTGATTTCCATCTCTCTGCACAAACTGGCTTCAGATTGAGATTAAAGGTACTGTCCAGAGCTTCTGAGTGCCTTGAAATTTAGATGAAGGTCTTAAACATGCCAGCTTTAATTTCAATACCGTAGTTTCTGCCAAAATTAATCTCTGAATTTCTTCCCTGAATCTTAATACAAGGAGTCATACAGTAGATGTAAAAATGAACAAATAGGGACTTCCCTGGTGGCGCTGTAGTTAAGAATCTGCCTGCCAATGCAGCGGACCTGGGTTCAAGCCCTGGTCTGGGAAGATCCCACGTGCCGCGGAGCAACTAAGCCCGTGCGGAGCAACTAAGCCCGTGCGCCACAACTACTGAGCCTGCGCTCTAGAGCCCACGAGCCACAACTACTGAAGCCCGGGCACCTAGAGCCCATGCTCCGCAGCAGGAGAAGCCACTGCAATGAGAAGCCCGCTCGCAGCAACTAGAGAAAGCCCGCGGGCAACAATGAAGACCCAATGAAGCCATAAATAAATAAATAAATAAAATTTAAAAATTGAACAAATAACAGGCTATTCACAGGAGCCATATTCATCAGTCATCACTGTTAATCAGCCATCTCTTTTATAATGGAACGGTAAGTTCAATTGCTTCATCCATAGGGAAGTTACCTAACTTTAGATTAATGATAGAAAAACAGACTTTTCATAAGAATTCGACAGAATTATGTTCTGTGATTCTTTGTAGCAAATTTCAGGTGTGAAGTGACAAGTGAATTTGAGCAGCAATTAACCTAGAGCTTGGAAACGTCCATCTAATCTTTTCATTATGTGCAAGGAAGAGCAATAGCAGTAACCTCGTCATCAGCACTGTACTACTACTACCTGTGGCCATTCCTCATGTCATGTCATGTCAAAGTATTCTATAGATTGTGGAATTTTAGCACTTAGATAAGCTTTGTGTTACTTGAATTCGTCAGTCCTTTATCTAGCACATAGGAAACAAAACTTTGATACATGGCAATTTCTGGCAAATGTCATTAGACCATTTGACCATAAGTCAGATTAATTTCAGTGAAACTGCTCTGTTCCCACTGTAGTAGTCCTATAGATTTCTCCCTGCCTTCCCTCCCACACCCAGTTTTACTGAGAGGTAATTGACATATTAATCCCAGGTGTACAACATAATGATTTGATATATGCATATATTGTAAAATGACCATCAGAGTAAGTTTAGTCCTCTCATAGTTACAAATTTTTTTTCTCATCTCACTGAGGTGAGAACTTTTACGATCCATTCTCTGAGCAACTTTCAAAGAGATGTGTTACCAGAAGTCTCTAGACTTCCTGGAGTTACTGTAAGAATCAAAGATATAATGAAATAATTTTCAAACACCATGCAAGTCTCACCCTACTGGGGTGAAGGTGAAGTTCTAAAGTCAGGGAATAAGCTTCTGTTACCCTCTTCTCAGGTCCCCTCTGTGTGGTGCATTCGCCTACGTTAGTTGCATTCAAATGCATATGCTTCTACTGCATGGTCACTCCTCCAATGGTTACTTCCTTTTTACTGAGGAATTTGGGGCCTAGAGAATGGAGTACCTGGCCCAAGGCTACAGGACTACTTAATTCAGAGGCAAGGCTGAATCGAAGCCCAGCCCTCTCAACCCAGGCCAGTCTCTTCTTACCAGTATGTTAAGGAATGGTTCATTGAACCAACTCTGTAGATGAGAGTATATTTTAACAAAAATTTAAACAGGGTGGATTAGAATCCCATATTGAGCTGAAGTTTGGTGTCATGGAAGGAGGCCTGGATGGGTGTCAGAAGACGTGAATATTAAGTCTTAATTCCTTCCTTTGCCAGCCTCATGATTTGGGCGATTTACCTACTTTGAATACTTATTTCTTCCTCTGTGAAATAAGGAAAGATAATACCTACCCTGCCTACGTGCTTGGAGTGGTTGGGAAGATCTAATGAAAAAAATGTTATATGAAAACACCTTGAAAATTGTAAGGTATTATTAGTAAGGTATTGTGCCTCCCAATCAGATTATATGATTATCTGACCAAAGAGGCTTATCCTCCTCTTAATTCTTTTGAGGAAGCTCTGAAAAACAGATCCACCTTGGAGTAACCTGTACATATAAAATGTGGGAATAATGCCACGATTTTGAATAAAAGCGAGTATGCAAAGATCAAAATATTCTAAATCAATAGATTTCCTAGCAACAGAGGTATCAGAATTTATCTTTATTTTTTCAAATAAAAAAATGCATCAGCCTCACAGAAGAATGCTCTAGCAATGAAAGAAATCTGTACTGAATGGATAAAACAAAAATTTTAATATTCTGATAAAAGGTTGCTACATACTTGGTACATAACAGATCCCATGAATGTTTGTTGGGAAGAAAATGAATATTGTGGTAGCCATTTGTTTTTGACTGGAGTGTTCTTTAAAAAGAAAAAAAAACCTTGCCCTTTTTCCTTGACAGATATCGATGGCTTAGAGAGCAGTGCAATTGGAGGGCAGCTGATGGCCTCAGCTTCTATGGAGTCTCCTTTCACCCAGGGCAGGAGAATTGATGACTCCACAGTGGCAGGTAGTGACTTGGGTCTTGAGTTTATGAATACACATCCATCGCATGTGTTACCAGCAATTAAATTATTATGTGGCAGCTTTCTGTACTGACGTAAATGAATTAAGATTTCATCTTGGCAGAAAAATACCTGATGGAAGTTACTAGCATCGTCCAGCTGCTGATGCAACATTCATTATTTATAAGCACAAAGTGAAACACAATCCGATATAACCCTTTCCATTGTATTTCCTGTAGTAGAATTGCACATGGCTCGATAATGCTAATGTGATGGTCAGAGAATCCCAGGCCGATCATCGCCAGGTTGTTTTATCTCTGGAAGGTAACCCACACCCCTTCACGTTCTAGGTGTGGCGTTCGCTCGCTACATTCTGGTTGGCTGCTGGAAGAACTTGATCGACACTTTATCAACCCCCCTGACCGGCCGAATGGCGGGGAGCTCCAGAGGGCTGGCCTTCATTCTGGGAGCTGAAGGCATCAAAGAACAGAACCAAAAAGAACGGGATGCCATCTGCATGAGCCTCGATGGGCTGCGGAAAGCAGCACGGCTGAGCTGTGCTCTAGGTATGGCGGACATGGTATCCCTGACCCGTGGCCCAAGGGGTGTTCCCGAGGAACACATTAGGAACGGCCCTAGTGGACAACAAGTCTTTTAGATGTGCTTCTGCCAGGTGAGTGGTTAGAGAATAGACTCAGTTAAGGGGTGATTGTTTGTTTCCTCTAAAGGAGTTGCAGCCAACTGTGCGTCAGCCCTCGCCCAGATGGCAGCTGCCTCCTGTGTCCAGGAAGAGAAAGAGGAAAGGGAAATCCAGGAACCCGGTGATGCCATAGCACAAGGTAACAGCAGAAGGGCTAGAATCCACCTGGTGCCTATGTGAGGTCTGCACGTGCCCGCACACATGAGCGGACACACTTGTCCCTGTTGGCATGTGTGATACACGGTGTATTGTATACCACTGGTGATGAGATCCCGCTGGACCACAGGCTTGGGTCAGTTTTACATGGCTGACCCTCCAGACTGCTCACAATACGTCCCTCTGGACACAAGAGACATACTGGCTCCTGGCGACTAGGAAAGTGCACCTGGCTGCTAGCCAGAGGCCCACCTGGCTCAGCTATTCACCCCTGTGGCGCGTCCTCTGGCCACTGGCTTTGAAGCTTCCCAGGGTGCACATTTGAGGACCCCCTCAGGCTACAGTGGGAAAGATAGAATGGCCAGGGTTCTGAGGGGGGAATCAAACCGATGGAGGAATCCCTGAGAGGAGGCTCAGGAAGGCTTTGCTCTTGTCAGAGAAAAACCTGAGCTTTGTGAACTTGGGAAAGGGTTGATTTTTAACTTGTTAAAATTAGTCAATGAAGTGGATGGTTATCTAGATATAAGGAAAGAGAATGGCCTTTCTAATAGCAGTGGAAGATAAATGGCAGACAGCAAACAAGGAAAAATTGGAAGCTTGGGCCAACTTGTGCTAACAATGTATCAGGTATATAAAATAGGTAGTCACAGAAAGAGCACATTTTTAGCTGAGAAAAACAGCTTAGGTTGGTGTTCCTCAAACTTGAGTAATAGAGTCATGTGAGAACAAAGCAACTCTTAAACATCCCCAGTGTTAACTGCAAAAGGGTATCACACTTTTACTTAAAATGTACAACTATAAGTTACATAAAAATACTTAAATTTAAAGTTTTTCAAAAACTATTAAACCAGAGCTAGTATTTGAATTATAGACAAATAAAAGATAAAATCAATATCACATCCGTGAGACAAATGATGCTTTGCTAAAAATCAGTTTGCCCTTTACAGTAGGAGCATGGTTCGGCTTCCTCTGTAGTGAGCACGCTGTGTTTCTGGGTTCTGGACCATTGCTCAGTTTTCCCACTAGACCCATCTTCCAGTGACTGGACACCTTAATTCATGGAGGATGCTGTCATTTGGGCTTGCCTTGGCATTTTGCGTAATTGACATCTTAAGTCACCTTCTGCATCCTTTCTCATTCATTATCTACAATTTAAAAAGTATTATTTGAAGATCACAAGTATAAACGTTAACTCAGGGAGTGAAATGATATGGGAATTTTCAGTTATAAAGCGGTCATCATGGCGCAGGGTGTGTACATACATATGTTGTTTTACATGATCATCATCATGAACACCTAATATTAAGTAAACCTCAGAGAGGACTTGGGAAGCCCAGGAATTCTTTCTTATTATCAATATGAGTACACAGGGGCAGAGGATGGGTCTGGGCACAGATGACTTTAGCTGGGATTGGCACTTGAACCCCATCCTCACTGCTGTGACTGACCCAGATCCCAGGGGTGGGCCCAGAGGAGCTGTACCTACCAGCTCAGAATCCATGGACTTCTGAAACCCCGGGGCTGGGATCACCAATGTCTGTGGGCCTGTGGGCTGGGTAGTTTGCATGATGAGCCTCGGGGACCTGCCATTGAAGAGCTCGCTGCCAGTGACATCCCCCATTTCCTTTTGCCCTTGCACAAGAGCACATTCTTTCCTTTCCCTCCTTTCTCCCTCCCCTTCTGTCTCCCTTACTTGGACTGTTATTCTAATGAACGTCTTTCTGATGCAGTGAAACTAAAAGTGGAGCAGAAACTGGAGCAGATCGGGAAGCTGCAGGGGGTATGGCTGCACACAGCCCACGTCCTGTGCATGGATGCCATCCTCAGTGTCGGCCTGGAGATGGGCAGCCACAACCCGGACTGCTGGCCACACGTGTTCAGGTGTGTGACCGGATCTCCACTCCCGCAGGCCTGGCACTGCCTGCCGGTGCGGGGGAAGGCCGGGAGGGGGCCTGCCGTGGGGAAGGGGTAGTAGGGCCCCGCACCTGCCAGCATGTAAACAGTTCACAGTAATTCACAGAGGTTGGAAAAGCCCCAAATGAGAGGTTAAAAAGAGAAGAGGGAATAAGGGCCCAACTGAATGTATGTCTCAGAGAACAGAGTGACAGAACTGAATTTAGGAAACTGTGAACTATCATTGACATTGTCTGTGAGAGGCAGATACATTATCCCAGGGAAGAAAAACTGATTCTTAACTAGAGGCTGGTAAAAGACCACATACATTAGGTGAATACTAGGCAGATCTCAAGGCTGGTCATGTGTCAGCAACATAACATGGCTGTATGTTTATTAATGTCCTTTTTATTGAAAGAAGGATTTTTGTTAGCTTACATGGACACATAATAAGTACAGTTTGCCTACTTTTAATTTAGCTAGACAAAGGAAAAAAGTATAATAGTACATTGTGTCAAAGACAGCCAAAACTTTGGCTCTTAGCTTTGTAGTATCAAAGTAAAAAGAACCTCCCAATCAGTTACGCAGTTCACAGCACCTGTAAAATAAAAACAGAGTGAGAGCTCCACAGTCCTCCCGCGACCAAGAAGAAAAGCCTGCCTTCCCTGGCACTGGCGGTCGGGTGGACCTCGGACAAAGGGATGACCGCTCTCCACCCGCAGCAGGCACAGGGCGGCTGCGGCTTTCTTGCCCGTCTCCCCAGCACACGCCCCAGCCTGTACAAGCTCAGTTCTGGCCGAGCGGTGGAGGGCGGTCAGGAGAAGCATGGTGGCCCGCAGCAGGGCTCAGGCGTCCAGATCTTTCCCAGAGCACTGGCCAGATCTAGGTTCTGTTTATCATCCTTAAAGCAAGTACAGCCTTGAGTGAGTGTTGGTCGACTTTCAAAGATCACTCTAGGGTTGAAAAGCTCATCTTGAGAGGAACATGTGAAAGGGCCAGCATGAATCGGCCTGGAGCACAGTGGGTTTTAATGTGGAGGCTGGAGACCCGCTACTCTCCGTTGCTTTCACAGGCAAAAAGAGAAAAAGAGAAAGACTTAAATTGCACCCAAGCAATTTCTATGGAATCAAAAAATGGCCTGATTATGGAACATCAGAGTGGATTATCCAGGATAGTCTTCCCTAGTAACTGGACTTATTCTGGGGTGAAGGGTCTCTAGTCCCAGGTCCTATTGGGAGCAGTTTGGAAGCTGGCAGCTGTACCATATGTTGTGACTCTTCTCTGAGTTTACCGTGATTAGGTGACTACCCCACCCCCTGCCCCAGTAGTGGTTACGTGGAGCTATCAGGACCCGGTGGGACATGGCTGGATGGAACCCCTGAGTGAGGGCCCATTGTGGCCAGGGGGCCAGTCCGCCATATGCGCACTCATTCTGGGATCTCAAAGTGAGGAGATGTTTCCCGAGTCCTGACTAGAGCACGAGAGAGAGGGAAGAGGACCCTTTGGGAAAACTCACTCAAACAGCCAAAGTCCTGATAAGCCAGTCCGCTGGACAGGATGTACCTGGATAAACAGAGCTCTGTTCCCAAACTTTCACCGAGGAATCCTTAGCCCGCCTCCAGGCTGTCTGGTCCAACTGAAACAAAAGTATGTATAGCGGGAAGAGAGGAAGTGGGAGTGGAGAGAGAGGGGGAGAGAAGTGGCTCTCGCCGTAGGAAGGGGAACAATTCAGGAGGTCTGTAAGGCTGGCTCAGCTCCTTTGTATCTCACTGTGGGGTCGCCAGAGCGGGCCCAGCTGAGCTGCAAATTTCAACGGCTGCTGTGTGTGACTCTCTCCAGGGTGTGCGAGTATGTGGGCACGTTGGAGCATACCCACTTCAGCGACGGCACCTCTCGGCCCCCACTGACCATCAGCCAGCCTCAGAAGGCCCCCAGAGGCGGACTCCTCGGGGACCTGGAGAGCGAGGGCTCACCCCAAGAGCAGAGCCTGGAGCAGGGGAGCTCCCTGAGCGCGGCCCCCGTCATCCAGCCCCTCTCCATCCAGGAGCTCGTCCGGGAAGGCAGCCGAGGCCGAGCTTCCGACTTCCGTGGTGGCAGCCTCATGACGGGCAGCAGCGCCGCCAAGGTCGTGCTCACGCTCTCCACCCAGGCCGACAGGTGCGTGCTGTTCCCGCCACACCCCGGGGGGCTGTCCCCCAAAGAGCACCCATCGTCTGCTGGCCACACCACATGCTCCTCTTCTGCCCTCAAAATCATCCCCAGGACAACTTGATTTGTTAGCCAGTCATTGAAGCCTCTTGTAATTTTTTTCAAGTACGTCTCTGTCTGCCATCACGCTGCACACTCACAGTGAACTCTTTTGTCTAGTGACTAAGGCTGGAGGCTCGGGGGCGGGGTCAGGCAACCCGGGGCGAAGGCTCTGCACTTACTCTGTGACCACAGGCAACTTCCACAGGCCTTGCTTTCTCATCGTAGAATAGGGCCATAAAGTATCATAACTCTTACAGGCTGGCCATAAGGTTAAATTAATTAGTTCGCTGGAAGTAGTTAGGACAGAGCTTGGCAAATAGTAAACATTTGCTATTTTTATGATAATATTTTGAAATCCTGCACCCAGGAGTGTGATCTAAATTGATGCCCAGCAGTCACATTAAGATGTAGAGGGAGGGGCTTCCCTGGTGGCACAGTGCTTGAGAGTCCGCCTGCCGTTGCAGGAGACGCGGGGTCCTGCCCCGGTTCGGG